CCTGGGCACTCTACCCAGGGCAACGAAGTGAAACTCTGTCTCTAAATAAATAAACATTTTTGTTAAAGTGTAACATATTTTTTGTTTTACTTATTTATTTTTTTTTGGAGACAGAGTCTTACTTTGTCTCCTTCAGTCATCGTAGATCACAGCAACCTCAAATTCTTGGGCTCAACTGATTTCTCCTGCCTCAGACTCCCAAGTAGCTGAGACTACAGGCACCTGCCACAAAGCCCAGCTATTTTTTTAGAGATAAGATCTCGCTCTGGCGCAGGCTGGTGTCAAACTGGTGAATTCAAGCAATCCACCCACTTCAGCCTCCCAGAGTGCTAGGATTATAGGCATGAGCCATTGTGCCCAGCCTGAAGTTTAACATATTGTAGTTAAGTAATTTCTGATGAAATCTGAGATGAGCTACAAAATAACTAGGCTGGTGTAGGGGATTGGAAGGAAGAATAGATTATGTAGGATTGTTTCTGTGTTGATATTGTTGAGTATGGGTGATAGGCTCATTGTACTATTCTTTTTTTTTTTCTGAGACAGAGCCTCAAGCTGACCCCCTGGGTAGAGTGCTGTGGCATCACAGCTCACAGCAACTTCCAACTCCTGGGCTCAAGCCGAGTCTCCTGCCTCCGCCTCCCAAGTAGCTGGGACCACAGGTGCCTGCCACAACGCCTGGCTATTTTTTTTGGTTGCAACCATCATTGTTGTTTGGCAGGCCCGGGTTGGATTCAAACTCGCAACCTTAGATATCTGTGGCTGGCGCCTTAGCCACTTGAGCTACAGGCCGAGCCATACTATTCTAGTTTATTTATTTATTGATTTATTTACTTTTTTGTGGTCAGAGTCCCCCAGGCTAGAGTATAGTGGCATCGTAGCTTATAACCAACCTCAAACTCCTGGGCTCAAGTGATCCTCTTGCCTCAGCCTCTCAAAGACCTGGAACTACAGGCATGCAACACTAGAAAAGCCCATCTAGCTTTTCTATTTTTAATAGAGACAGAGTCTCCCTTTTGCTCAGGATTATATGAAACTCTTGAGCTCAAACAATGCGCCTCCTTGGTCTCCCAGAGTACTAGGATTATACAATGAGACACTGTGCCTGACCTACTCTTTCTCCTTTTGTGTATGTTTGAAAATTTCCTTTAATAAACATATTTTTAAAGTTATTGTGGATCAGATTGTTACCACTAAAACCGTAAAAATTCTCGGCAGCAGTTTCATTAGAGTACCGTTGGTGTAATTATATGTAGCATCGTTGGCTTTCTTAAATACTTTTAATTGCTTTTCTCCTTTTCATTATAGCTTAAAAGTGAATCCTTGTTCCATCCTTCTAAGCAAATGGACTTGAAAGTAAATGGGGAGCCACTGGATCTGGACCCTGGTCAAACTTTAATTTACTATGTTGATGAAAAAGCACCTGAATTTTCCATGCAGGGTCTAAAAGCTGGTGTTATTGCTATCATTGTAGTTGTGACATTAGCGATTATTGCTGGAATTGTTGTGCTGGTGAGTACAGAACAAGGTCAAATTTCATTTAAGGGTATATTCTTTGAAGAAAAGGTTAATAATATGAAAAAGTTACATCTAGGTTCTAAACATATTAATAAAATAATCTTCACTTTTATAATTCTCTGTAGTGAATGAATCTGTTGCATTCCTGGTCCCTTTTTACAAAACATTCACTTTATGAAACACAAAAAGATACTGACCTGACGAAAGCTGGCAGCTGTGCGCCTCACAGGCCACTTCTATTGCCACCAGGCAGCAGTGTCCTTCACTTCTCACTGCAAACAGTTCAACACTCCTGCTAGGATTAATGCAAAATACCTGAACTCCCAAACCATCACAGAATACAAAATTAAAGTTAGCAGCAAAGAGAAGAGTTGAAGATGGTAAATACGAAGCACCAATTCTTTTTGTTTGTTTGAGACAGAGTCTCACTCTATTCCCTAGGCTAGAGTGCTCTGTCCTCAGCCCAGTTCAAAGCAACCTCAAACTACTGGGTTCAAGTGATTCTCCTGCCCCAGCCTCCAAGTAGCTGGGACTACATACCTGGTTAATTTTTTTTCCTGTTTTTTTAGTAGAGATGGTCAGGCTGGTGTTGGACTCCTTAAGCAATCTTCCCACCATGCTAGGAGGATTATTTATTATAGGTATGAGCCACCGGACCTGGCCTGGAGCACCAATTATTTTTTTTGAGACAGGGCCTCAAGCTGTCATCCTAGGTAGAGTGCCATGGCTTCA